ATTGTAAAAACTCATTTCTAGAAATAGATATAAATTTACATACGAACTTTGCCCCCCCCCCTCCCAGTTGCACAGCGGTACGTCTGTGGACTTACAATGCTAGAAACAAGGTTTCGATACCCATGGTGGGCAGAACACAGATAGCCCACTGTGATGTGCTTAACTTCAAACAAAACAACAACAAAAAAAAACATACGAATTCTCAGAAAATTCTGTAATACTGAAAAGTATTTTTGGTGTTCGAGGCATTAGTTTCTATAGCCAAATTCCATTGTAACACAGTTTTACTACCTGACAAAGGGCTTCTGCTCGAAACGTCGCACAAAATAAAGTATGAAAACGTTTTCATTTAAACGTGTCAGTTTATTCTTTATTATCATTTATACAAGTTTCTCTTCTTCCACCTTGCGGAATAACACTCATTCAAGAGTGTCTATAGTAGTTGTATTTTTTGTCAACGAAAACTTGAGTTCATTTTAATTGGTGGAACCGGTACCGTGTTATTACTTCACAATATATTGAAACTTTCCCTTATAAGTTATAATATTTACATTTAAAAAGTATTTTAGTATAATACTAATAATATGGTGGCATTAGGGGTTACTAGAATAGTGGCAAAGTATACAGGTCTGAAAAGTTTTTATGTTTCCAGCACGTGCTTTAATACTTATCTGGGTAGTCCTTACTCCAACATTAGGTGGAAGTCCTCATCTACAGTTGTTTCTCCTGAAACTAAAGGCGTAGGGACCGCTCAAAATAATGAGCCGCCGCAGCGTGACCCACTAGATTTGACCTTTGAAAACACAAAAATAGCATATAAAAGTAAAACTTCATGGGAACTACTTCGTGGGCTTTTTGTTATGAAGTTAAGTTCGTATAAAGTATTAGTAGAAAATAATGAAAAGGTTGGTTGAAACTAGATTCATGGAAGTATTTGGTTATATTATAACATATATACTAGCATAGTAATTAGTATAATATATATGTATTGTAAATGTAATATAAAATTATAGGTTATAAATTACTGAAGCTGAAATAAAATGAAGACAAGCCTTGCAATGATATTTATAAAATTAAAAATAAGATTGAGAATAACTAAAAAGAAAAATGAGCAAAAAACAACAACATCAAATTGAACTTGAACTGGTGACACTTTCATACAAATTTGTGGATAAGTGATTTTTTTCAGAGATAAAATGTGTTAAAAGTTAATGAATAATCTGACCTTTTTGAATAACTTGATAGAAGTTTGCAAAAATATATCTAGGATTTCAATTTCTTTTTTGAGAAACTGTTATTCCTATACCACATTCATTCACATATCTTAGCCCCAAGATAAATAACAATGCTGGATATTCAGTAAAAATTAAGACATTTATTAATATTTTTTTAACTGATTGATAATCAAATCTTCCTCCACCTGACAAGAAAAATTCTAATTGTCAATTTATAGTGATAAAAAAATCCAAGGAACCATGGTTAAACTTAAAGGGTTACAGATGCTTCTCTTCAGGTTTACAAAATATCAGAATACATTGTTTGTGCCATCAGATACAGTTGTGTAAAACTAAAATTTATACATATTTATAACAATGTATATATGCTGTGGATTGTGGAAGAAATATTCTCAAAATGTGACCTTGGTGAAGTATTGTTATACAGTTTTGGGCTCCTTATCTGAGAAAGGATATTGATTAATTGGAAATTGTTCAAAAGAAGGCTACTTGGATGATCCAGGTAGAGGTAGGGTTAATCTATGGGGATATGTTAACATCTCTTAATGTATTTTCTATTGAAATAAAATGGTAAGAAGTGATATTTTTATAGTTTACAAGATTATTAGGAGGATGGTGATAGGATCAAGGTGTCTGGGTTCTTCATGCTTTATTTTGTTGATAATAGGATGAGAAGATACTAAATATTAGAGAGTCATTTTCTATTACATGAAAAAATCATATTAACAGACTTCAAATTTGGCTGACAGAACACAATAATTGTTCAAAACTTGTACTTGCAAGAAATATCAAGGTATTAAACCTTAAACTGTGAAAATGTTCAAATTGTAGTCATTCTTCTGTCAAAGTCCCACTCTCCTTTATGGGTCAGACAGCAACCTCAGCATAGTTCTATTATTTTATTGGTTTGTAGCACAAAAATATCATTTGTAATGATAACTTATTTTTGAAAATACTGCCTTTCTGTTGTTCTTGAGCTATTATATCTTAGGATATAGCTCTAAGTCAATTATATTCTAGTAGTAGTTTACCTGTAATAATATTGACGAGCTGGAAATTTCAATTTTCTTATGTTAAAATCTTTCTAAGAGGTACAGCTGGAGATTAGTTCTGAATGTGTTCTCCAACTAATTGCAAGAGACTGGACAGGCCTGTGTGAAAGATAGAACTCTGATTTATTGACTACTGTTTTCAATCACTGCAAAATGAATCATTAAAAAGAAGCATTATGAAACTAGTTTATTAATTAAGTGAATAGTAAGGTAGAAACTAAGAAAGTTTCCTTAAAGTATAAAATACTCCTCCCATTTGTTGTATCTGAAGTTTCTCAAGAGATAATGACTTCATTAGCATGTGATCATTTTATCAGTGCTATTCTTAATAAAGATATGGGCAACAGAATGAAACAAATTAGAGGCATTTGTTTCAGGGAATTTATTAAACTTAATGAACTGAAATCCATCAAGCCTACTGCTAAACATTTCAAAATAACAGCTTGAAATGGCTGTATACTTGAATAATACAGAAGAAAGAGTGCAGTAGATACACTACATTTATTAGAAAATGTTATTCGCCCTGTAAAAGGTTCCAAATGGGGAAAAACAGGACCTTCTGTCAGGAATTTTAAATGAAAAAATTATGGTTGAAAATTTCAACATTATGGTTATTAAGGACATTATTTCATGACTAGAAAAAAAAAACAAAGGAAACCAAATCAAGGCATCAATACAAGGTATATGACACAAAGAAACATGCTGTAACTGAGGACTTAAACTCAATACCTTTGGATCTTATGATGCAGCTTTACCAATTAAGCTACCAGGATTCCCAAGCAGATATCTCTCATCTTGGTCATTACATAATACACACACAATCATTCATACAAGGCTTATTCTATAGCATCCTCATCCCAACAACAAATAGCATATTATGGCTTCTCCAGGCCATCATCATACAACATAGTATCCTCAGACCACCAAAATTATCTCTCAAACACATGGTATACTAGGCCAACTACAGAAACAAGCATATACACATATGATTTGATTTTCAAGTCTAAATGATCCTGAAGTTGAAACAACCACTAACTGGGCACTAAAGTAACAAATCAGTATATTTGGGAAAACTGCTTTGACTAGGGCTTAAACCTGGAATCTTTGACTCACACAGTAGTGCTTTGTAGTCAGTGATACAGTTTTTGCATCATTTTTTAGTGTTATTAGTCTCGGGAGTCATTGTAAAATGTGTATGGAAAGATAATGTTTAATACATTTTTATTTTTGGTATTCCAATAAGAGTTCTTTTTGACATCTGAGAGATTGAAGAAGTGTTTTAAAAATGTTTTTAGAAGTACGTTGGTGTTTAATTAGAATGCAAGGTAGTTTTCAAATTATTATGATCTTTAAGATTTATTCAGCATCTATCAAATGTATTTCATTCTTTAATGAAACATTTTGAGTTTAAAATGTTCCTTCTAATGTTTGATGGAGAAACATTTAATTAAACTGTTTCATTTAGGAGTCTGTTATATTTCATTGTGTTTTGGGGTATTGTGACAAATGAGTATAGGTTTGTGATCCAAATATTGACACTGTTGATCACTGCCTGTTTAAAACTGAATCATTTTGTGTTTTGTATTATAAGGTGAATCAGTAACATGCAGAATCGCATTAAGTTCTGTACATGTATTTCAAGACAGGTGTGCTTTTCTCTCTCTATCATATTCGTAATAATAACATATCTAAACAAATTATTTTTATGCTGATTTGGATCTTGAATTTCACATGATTGCTTCAACTCTCTTGCATGTAGAGATACCAAAGTAATAAATGTAACATTCATATTATGACTACTTTAAAAAGTGTAATGAATTCCTGCAAAAAAAATCATTTAATAAATGTACTTGAAAGTATGCATTTAGTTACTCTCTTCAACTGGTAATTGAGACAATATATTCATGATGAAACAAATCTGAAAATGGGTGCCATCTGCCTATGATGAAACCCATTTTCACCTTTGTTTCTCTAACATGGATACCTTAGCAACTTTTACACCCAAAAATGCCTGGAATGATATTTCACTGGCATATTTGTATGCACTGAATACAAATCTGAAAACTACTTTTCCTTATATGGTATTTTTTGAGGAGAAATTAGGCCCTAAGGTCAGGAGCTTCCACCATTAAGTATATATAGGAAAATCTCTACCCTCCCTGCTATTAAACCAGTAAAAGCTGGTGTGGTTGTGTCAGTTGAAGGTTCGAATATGACCTCCACCATATTACTTTTTATTAGAATTTGTTTAAAACTTCTTTACTACGTCAAATAAAATACCCACAATCCTAAAAATGTATAGAAAATGTACAAGTTGATTTTTACATTTTCTTGTTTTATACAGCAATATGTTATAAACCACTAGTTTAAAATTTTTATAAAACTAGAACACAATAATTTCAGAACGAAAATATTTCCACCCGCATCATAGAATGATACATTATTATTTTTTTTTTTTTTTTTTACAGATAGTCGTTATTAAAATAATACAAGTTATGGTAGTTCTCAGCATTGAAACAAATTCTGTAATGGAATTCTACTAAAACTTAACTTTTATCAGGTGTTAACATTCAATAAACATTTTTTGCATGAGTTGCCATATATGAATGGACTTGTAGGTCTTGTATATATATAGAACTTTTTGAACATATGTTTAATTAGTAACAACATAAGGAATTAGTTATATTGTTCTTAGTTCATGAAGGGATTGTTTCCTAGTGTATTAGTTCTCCATTTTTAGGTTTCAGGAATATGCAGTAATTTCATGTCTTAATTTTGTAGCATGTGATGTACTGTACTGAATTGTTTGCAGACTGGAGAACTTACATGAGATGTTTTTGTTGTTGTTAATAGTTAATGCCAAATTAAAAAAAAACACCAGGATAAGGGTGTGTAAATCTGCATAGTGGCACTGTGAGCAATGGTACCAAGTGGGTTAACCCTTTCCAGATGGGTCACAGGTGAATGGCCATGTCATCTCGTTTGTTG